GAAGAGGTCTGCACATTGTAGACGAAATACGCGTATCTGTCAAGGATTAGCAAATAAAGTAGTGGAATTAAATGGAAAATACTAATCCTTCTCTCTCTCATTATACAGGTATTCCACTAAGACGCCCACATTCATCAGGGTCCAAAAGAATGCAATACGTATTTGTTAACAAGATTAAACAAACCTGTGCTCTGCAAGAATAATAAATTTGAAATAAGCTGAAATGTTTATGAGTTAATTTTAATTATGATTTATGTTTATTTTGTAATAAGGCTGTGCCCCAATTGGCGAGTTAAATTTAACTCGTGGTTAAAAGTGACAGATGGAAGGTTATCAAAAAATCCTGCTATCCAATCTTGGTTAATTCTAACAGACTAGACATTAAATTTTGGCAACCGTTGCTGAGTTCTGTTTGAAAACCAATCGAGCGATCAACCCGGTTTTTTTACATTGAAACTATCTTTCAAAATATCACTTTTAACCACGAGTTATATTTAACTAGGAAATTGAGACACAGCCTAAGCATATTAAAATGTGGTACATTGGCTATGTATGTTGAGCGCTGCACTGGGTAATTGCCAAGATTTGGGAGGAGGAGATATTACCAGAGGACTGGATGGAAGGTGTCGTATGCCCAATCTATTAAAAAGGCGACAAGTTGGATTGCTGCAACTACCGCGCGATCACACTGCTGAGCGCCGCCTACAAGGTACTCTCCCAAATTCTATGCCGCCGTCTGTCACCATATGCAAGAGAGTTCGTGGGGCAATACCAGGCGGGATTCATGGGTGCCCGCGCTACCACGGACCAAATTTTCGCGATTCGGCAGGTTCTGCAGAAATGCCGCGAATACAACGTGCCCACACATCATTTGTTCATCGATTTCAAATCCGCATACGACACAATCGATCGAGATCAGCTATGGCAGATTATGCACGAGTACATATTTCCGGACAAACTGACGCGATTGGTCAAGGCGACGATGGATCCAGTGATGTGCGTTGTTCGAGTATCGGGAACACTCTCGAGTCCCTTTGAATCTCGAAGGGGGTTACGGCAGGGTGATGGACTTTCGTGTCTGCTGTTCAACATCGCGTTAGAGGTGTGATCAGAAGAGCACGGAACTTTGAGATGATGGCAGAAACGTACATCAGACTGAAGGCTGAAGCTAGACGGATTGGACTTGCCATCAACGCTTCAAACCAAAATACATGAAAGCAAGAGGTTCTAGGGAAGACAATGTTAGCCTCCCACCACGAGTTCAGATTGACGGTGACGAAATCGAGGTGGTCGATGAGTTCGTGTATTTGGACTCACTCGTCACCGCCGAAAATGATACCAGTAGAGAAATTCAAAGACGCATTATGGCAGAAAATCGTGCCTACTTTGGACTCCGGAGGACGCTCCGGTCGAATAAAATTCGCCGCCGCACGAAGTTGACTGTATACAAGACGCTGATTAGACCGGGGATCCTCTACGGCCACGAGACCTGGACTATGCTCGTGGAGGACCAATCTACGGTAGAGTGCAGATGGATGACGGAACGTGGAGGAGGCGAATAAACCACGAATTGCACCAGCTGCTGGAAGAACCCTCCACATTGCAAAAATTGGGCAATTACGGTGGGCTGGGCACGTAGTAAGAATGCCACACGACGACCCAGTGAAAATGGTTCTAGAAAGTGACCCAACAGGAACAAGAAGAAGAGGCGCGCAGCGGGCAAGGTGGAAGGTGACCTGCGGACCCTTCGCAGACTACGAGGCTGGCGAACTGTGGCCATGGATCGAGTAGAGTGGAGACGACTTCTTCGGACAGCAGAGTACAACAAGACCTTAGCCTGATTGGTAAGGTAAGTAAACATTGGCTATGTTGCTACTCTCTTGTAAAATTATACTTTCAGTCAAACATGTGGAATCGCTTGGAAAAGCATTGCATCCCTCATTTTAAAATGGCATCACTTTGAAAAGTTTAGCATAACCCAGAGAAAAGGTATTTTTTTTTAATATTTAAATTCACCCGATTTTATGACAAAAGGCCGAATGACAAAACATCGAATGACATAACGTCAAAAGGACAAAAGGTCTAAGGTACAAAATGTAAAATAATGAGAAGGGGAACAAAAGGTCGAATGGGCAAATAGCCGAATGGAGCGAAGGGGGACAACAAATTTAATGGACAGAAGGTTGAATCGAGAGAGACGACTCTATCTACGATGCGGGAAAATTTTTTGTTTTGGTGTGATTAGCTGCGAGAAGGTAGAAAAAAGATTGATGACGATTCTGAAGATTTTCTGCAAAAAGATGCAAGTAGATGCGAGAAAAGAAAGAAATTTTTTCGTAGTATGATTTGCTAGTGTGAGATTGTAAAAACGCAGTAGCCTCTGCCCGCGAACGGTTGGTTTTGTTTTCGCTGGCGCTGATTTCATCTGTTTTCCGCTTTTGATAATGAGTCATACTGGAGTAAATTTTGAGTAACTCTGAGTAACTCGAGTTGCTCGGTATTCAAAGCACGGTGACATAGCAACCTGTTTGTTTTGTGTGCATTCCACAATGGCAAAGACGTTTAACGAGGAAAATCTACGTCCATCATTCAACAACCTTATATACCGGATTGCCATCCACAAAACCTGTGTCGCAGCATGCAAAATCTATGTATGCTTATTATTGGTTTACGATGATAATTATTGGATTTTCAAGTGAACTTGGAGTTGTACCATAATTTAACGTCTTGATGATGACATCGTAGGCATTCCATTGTGAACATTTTGGCAGATTGCATACCCACAAGATTCAAAATGTTTCAGTGCCCCATAAAAGTTTCACTTCACGTGACATCAAAGACAACGGCTTTGTGATTCCAGAACTGTATTGCCCACGAATAAAAACCGAAGTTTTTGATGGTAGTACTTTTTGTCTTCTTTCGCATCGCGTTTCACTCGCGACTGTGGAGGGCAATAATCATTGAAGAGTTGCAGTTTTCCATGAAGGGCATCTGTTAATATTAAAACCTTTTCACTGAGTTTAAAGTCCGGGATCGATGGAAAGATTATTGTCTAGTCACATTTACAAATTTACTGCTCTATCAGTACAATTAAAACTAGAATTCGCAACTCATTTTAACTAATTTATATAAGATGCTGAAATTAACAAATGAAATAATTCTTCCTTGGCAACCCATCATAAATCACGCTAGGGTTCGTTTCTCGGGATCATATCAGAATAATAAAAAAATCATACTGAAAAGAAATACACACGGATTAATGAGTATTTGATGCAACAATACGAAATAAAATACGGATAGGATCACTCCCACATGAAATTGGCCAATCAGGAGCTGGTTCACGTTTGACAGAAAAGTGGTTCATTTTCGCCCCCGTATTGTCACCTCTTCTCTTAGGTTTATACTGATTTAATTTTTAATTTGTGGATGAATATGAGACTGCTTTGATTACTTTTGAGTAAATATGAGTTACTCAAATTTACTCGCTATGGTTTGGTGGTGCCGCGTTGGTCGGTTTTTCTTTTCGCTTATTTTTGGTGCTTTGCCTCCCTCCCAAGAAGTGTTTTAACGGGTATTTTTGTCTTCTCTTGGTGCTGGCGTTCTGCCTTCCGGAGGATGCACGCGAGTGAGGTGTTAGACAAAAATTCGGTGTAAATAAAAAAAACTTCGCATGTTGTAGGGTTTCGGTGAACAAACCGGTGCTTTTTCGAAGGCAGAATTTGGTGAGATCCATCTGATTATAAATCAATCATAAATCTAATTCCATATATTACTAAATACGCTCCAGATTTCAAAACATCACATTTCGAAATCTGGAAGTGTGTTTGCTGTACCATTATTCATATGAAGACGGTAGTGTTTACATGCGGGGCTTATTGTATGTGAAAGTAACCTCGGAAGGGACGTGAATAACCAGGCATTTTGAAATGGGTTGCTGAATCTTCAGTAGAGCTATCGCTTTCTAACTCCCGGACTAAACTTGCTTTAAATTATAACCTACATCAAGGATTGTTGTAAGCAAATTTCTTCCATATAATACTACTGCCGGCCAGTGGAGGTTAGATTGAATACACACACACACACACACACAAACATGATTTGCTAGTGTGAGATTTTCTCGGGCAGAATGGACAAACAGGTTGAATAGACAACATGTCAAATTATGGTAAACTTAGAATGGAAAAATGGTAGAATGGACAAAAGGTCGAAAGGACAAAATGTTGAAAGGACAAAAGATCGAAAGAATAAAAAATCAAACATAAACAAAAGGTCGAATGCAAAAAAGGTCAATTGCTTTTGTCCAATGAACAAAAGGTCGAATTTTGAAAAGGGAAGCAAAAAATCTAATGGACTAAAGTTTGAATGATGAGAAGGGGACAAAAGGTTGAACGACCCAAAAAGGAACAAAATAAAAACGTCGAATCGAGAAAACTTCCCACACAACCAGAAGTCGTACAACAATGTACACACAGGTCGAATGGACTTAATCGAATGATTCAAAGAGGGACAACAGGTCGAAGGGGGTCGAAAGGTCGAATGATTCAAAGAGAGACTGAAGGTGGAATGGCGGTACATTTTGATGTGAAGCACACTTGGCCAGATGACAAGCAGTGGAAAGAAGACTTGACAGACGTTGAATATTAAAGGACTAATAGTACGTTCAGACTAGGCTCTATATTACGTAATATAGAGTGTTTCGTGATATAGAGGCTATATCATCAACTATATTACATGATATCCCATATATCTGATACGTCATCCAATATTACTTGCAAAGGGTAATATAGATTATATCATTTTCTATATCACGCAAAATTGAGCTTTTCTACAACTGGCAACACGGTTTATTTGGGTGGTGTCTTCGATTGAGTGAGAACTCAGTGAGAACAACAGAATGTTTACATGTCAGATGTCAATTTCAAATTTTGTTTTGATCATCCTTTCCGGTTGGTTGAAAAGAATTTTCAATTGAAAAAAGTTCTGTTCGGATTAAGATCACTATGGAAGAACCCGGTCCATCGAAGCGGAAAAAATCGAAGAAGCACAACGTTTGGTCTGCGCCTCAAGTTGATCTGCTGCTAGAGGCGTGGGAAGATAAGATTTCGGACCTTCGCGGGACGCGGAAAAACACCCACGTATATGAAGAAATCCGGAAAATCTTCACCGAACATGGCTACAGCGTCAGTGGTGAAGACATAAAAATCCGGATCAACAACTTAACAGCACGATACAGGTAAGTACTGACTTCACTTTTTATAGGACATAATTAAAATCGAGATTTAAACATTAAAATTCTATCCCATACCAGGAAGGAGAAAGCATTGGTAGGACCATCCGGTGGATCCCCTTCCGAATGGCCTTTGTTCGACAAAATTAATAGTATCCTTGGGAGTTTCCGGATCCACAATGCGCAATCTGTGATGGAGGACAGTATCGTTGAAGTGGTTGATTGTAAGTAAATATTTTATTAATTTTTCAAAAGGAACTCATGTGTAAAGAGCAACTCAAACGTAACTATTCAAATCGACGTATCTGATTTTGTAACCAATCATTTCATTCGACAATAATTGTTAAAAACAATTGACAAATTATTTGTGGCAACTCCTAACTCACTCACACAAACTAACACCACCAGCTGGTAGGGGAAAGATTCCGCTACCTGATGGTGGTGTTAGTTTGCGTGGGTGGGCTTGCAATTAAGACAAAAATCGTCGATTGAAGTGATTGTTTACAAAATCAGATACGTCGATTTGAATAGTTACGCTTGAACTGTTTGCACATGTACACCTTTCCTCCCGTCCGTTCCAAAAATAATCTTCCTATATATGTGGTGAGTGGAACCATCCACCTACCGCTGTTTCTCAGTTATCGTTCAGCCGATTGCCCTGATGTTTTGTGTGTGCTGTACCATATAGGCTTCCTGCCGTATCTGCGGTGGGTGGTATCGTCCACCCACCGGTTTTTCTCTATTGTCCTTCAAGTAATCCAGCTTATTTTTTATATGTGATTAGAGTCAACCATAAACTAGTTATCTACATAAAATCAGCTCAATTGTTTGAAGGACAACAGACAAATACCGGTGGGTGGACGGTACTATCCACCGCAGATACGGAGGGAAGCCTGTGTCGAGACAGGACCGAGGTTTCCAGCCTCGGTCACGGCTACACGAATCTGCGATGCTACTTTCTCGGTTGCTTCCAATGCTGCTGCTTCCTTGCTGTTGCTACAGCTGCTGCTTCTGCTGCTGATTCTTGTACCGAATTTAAGAGGCGACGGACCAGCGGAAGGAACAGCAGCAGAAGCAGCAGCATTGGAAGCAACCGAAAAAGCAGCATCGCAGATTCGTGTAGCCGTGACTGAGGCTGGAAACCTCGGTCTGGTCACGACAGCCTGTACTAGTAAATCAGCTCATTAATGTTACAAAAAACATTCAACATCAAGAAAATTCATTCTGATTCAATCGCTGTCCAATTAAGTTTATGAACTTTTCAAATCAATTTATTTTTTAGGTTTCTCCGAGGAATTCTTGGATGACGAATTAGCTCAGTCATCAGTACCGGATTCTCAACCAATGCCTTCTCCGTCACCATCGTCATCTGAACGTCCATCTTCAAAAAAGAAAAATACGAGTCCGCAGATGGAAATGCTGGAGGAATTCAAAAGAACGAATGCCCTTTTAGAGTCTGAGCTTGAACGCATGAGGGATGCAGACGACAATTTAATGAAGCTAGAGTTTGAACGAAATCAGATTCTTATGGGGATGGCCGAAAGTGCTAAGGAGGTCAACGATGCTCTTGTGAAATTTCTAACAAGATAAAAATTTCAAGTATTTGTAATGTGAGTTTAATAAAAACCCATTTATTTTTACAAAAAAAAAGCTTCTATATTTCTGAAAAAGTTCTTCACGATATTTGACTTTTTGAATTTTCCTTGCCGCTGTTATATACGAGGTTATATAATCAAACCGAGGATTGATATTATTTGCCATTTAAGCAACTTTTGTTTCCTTGGTGCATTCGGGTAATTTGTTTTATATGTAAAAATAACCATATCATATCCATGTCTTCAACAAACAATCAACTGGGTTCTTTAACCCTCCGTTACTCGTGCTGTTGTACTTTGTACAACACATGAATTTTCCATTTCCATTTTGTTGTTAAGTTACCAATCGATCTTAAACCAACGTGTATTCCTCAAAAAACTTATTTTGGACTAAACAAGTTAAACTTGATTACAGTAAACCCCCAAAAAATGCGGATAATAGTAAAAACGTAAATGGAAACCGCGTAAACGGTGTCCATACTACGTGCGATTTGACTTAATCGGATACAACATGGAATATCTCGAGATCCTGACTAGATAGAAAGTTACTGTTTTTGGCAAAGTTGTTCAAGAAATCATAGTATTTTTGCTGGAAGATAGTAGTTCAGAATTTTCTCACTACGTAGCGCTAGTATACATGTGAAATTCTCGCATGTGACATATCTCGAGATCCTGACCAGATGGAAAGCTACTTTCTTTGACAAAGTTCTTCAGGATGTCTAAGCCTATTGTTTGGTGCACAATATTTCAGGATTTTTTCACTACGCGGCGCTAGTATACATGGGAAATTCTTGCATGTGATATATCTCGAGATCCTGACCAGATAGAAAGTTACAGCCTTCTGCAAAGTTGTTCAGGAGGTCAAGGTATTTTCACTGGTGGACATAAGTTCAGGGTTTTCTCACCACGCGACGCTAGTATGCATGTAAAATTCTCTCTTATAGAATATCTCTAGATCCTGACCAGATAGCAAGTTACTGTCATCAGCAAAGATGTTCAGGAAGTCAAGATCTTTTCGTTGGTGGACAGTAGTTCAGAATGTTCTCACTATATGGCGCTAGTATGTACGTGCAATTCTCGCAAATAAAATAGCTCGAGATCTTGACCAGCTAGAAACTTTCTGTCTTTGTCTTGAATAAAAACTTTGTCAAAAATAAATGACATGTAACGAAAAATATTTGGTTAATCAATTAACAAACATGTTAAGACATTTAAAAAATAAGCGAATAGAAATATAAATTTTAAATTGGTAAATTTTTGGTGTGTCCAATCAATATTCTGGACTTTTCAAGGTGGTGAGAGGGAGGCGGCTACCATAAAATAACAGTGTCAAACAGTGAAGTTTTATTTTGATTTAAATCTTGATTTTAAAATCGAGATCAATGTGTATGGGTTGGAATAAAATATCACTGTGGCCAGAAAATGAAGCTCTTTCAGATAATGTATAAAAATCCATAAATTTTTCAAAATTAAAGAACTTCATTACAGTTATTGCAGAAATGATGAATAATAATAGAGTATCGTGCCTTTGGTGATATTCTCCAGGATTTGTATTGACAACCTTCTCGCCGTCCCTAGAAATAGAATATACACTTATAGTGGCATATTGTTTGCTATAATTGGAACTTTTTAAATCAAATCATAAAACAACGACATGAAACAACAACATTTGATTTCAGGAACGAGTTTGTTTTATTGCTTTAATATATTTAATGGCATGAATATTAAATAAAATAAATAAATCAAATTAGAAAAATATAATAATAGAACATTTTACAAATTATCCACAGCTTCATCCATCAGTTCGTCATATGAAGCGGATTGTGTAGCTGAAACATAGAGCTAAAGTCAGTTTGGTGTAACAGGACACCATGTTTTAAAGCAGATATGAAAAATGTACAATAACATTTCAATTCTTCTTACCTAAATAATTTGCAATGGCTTCCCGTATGGATTGCGCAGAGGGATTCCAATCAGTAATTGTAACAACATGCTCCGGCATTTGCTTCAGCTCATTCTCTCGCATTTGTTGCAGCCAATGCTGATTAATACCATCGTTGCAATTGTTAAGAAAGTTGTGAAGAACGCAGCAGCTTTTGATGATCAGGGAAACTTTATCGATCCTGTTATCTAAACCTTTCCCGATTCTTCGAAATCGGGCTTTTAAATGCCCGAAAGCGTTCTCAACAACTCTCCTAGCCTTTGATAGGGCATAATTGTACCCCTTTTCTCTCTCAGTAGCATCTGCGCGGAATGGATATGGTTTCATTACGACATCAGACAGACGAAAAGCCGAATCGCCTATCAGCAGCACTGGTACATCAATTCCACAGAAGTTTTTCGAATGCTGTTTAAGAAGTGAATTTTGAAGTTCTCTTCTCAGGTTTGAGCTCTCGAATATCTTCGAGTCGTTACATCGCCCAGGACTTCCAACATTTATGTACTGGAAGCGATACCTACAATGAACATCATAATTACACACATTAAAAACGACCTTAAAAATTGCGGTACTCACCTGTAGTCTACACTAGCAAAAAGCACCGTCGAATACCACCCTTTGTAATTGTGATAATCTATTGCATCATCGTTATTTGGTCTTACTTCAATGTGACATCCATCTAAAAGGATCAAAGCAAATAATTTGTATATATTTCTTTTTGGATCGAGTTGGAGGTTGACGGAGGTATTAAGTTAGATCTTGAGAAATTGGAAAAAATCAAGAAATAAATTAAATTTGCCGCACCGATGGATATGTACAGTACATGTACTACAGCAAGGCATCTACTGATGTGAAGGTGAAGTGAAAAGATAGGTTTATCAAGAAAAATATACCAATATTTATTTGAAAATAGTATGTATAGAGCAATCGGTTCAGTGTTAACAAAATGTGCATACATCCATCAATCTTACCTATGGCACCATAACACTGAGGAAACCCTATTCTTTCAAATCCATTTACGCATTCCTCAATACGCTCTTTCGTGAGCGGAAATGAATCCATCTGCTCAACCCGCATGACCCGCCACACTTCGTTGCAAAATTCTTGTACGATTTCACAGGTCGTGGACTTCCCCACTCCAAATAAGTTCGATATCGTTCGGTATTCCGCTGAAGATCCCAGCGCGTATACAGCAATAGCCACTCTCTTTTTCAGCGGAATGCATTTTCGAAGCACTGTATCCTTCTTTTCCAAACAGCGCAATTTGGAGCAAAGAATTTCGAAACAGTTTTTGGACATCCTGAAATTTTCTTTAAAAAAAATCTCTCCGTTTTGCTGAGCATCTTCCTCAAAAAAACGTCCGGTTCTATTCTGAAAAATAAGTAATATTTTTAATACAATTGATAGAAATAAACCTATGCCTTAGCTATACCTTCTTCCAAATCGTTCTGTTCATGGTTACGCGATTCATTTGGGTGGATATAGCAATGGATTTATTCCGTAGCATGAGGATATTTCTCAAATGCTGCTGTCGTTTGCGCCTGTACATCAGCACCTTCGTGGACACCATCCGAAAGAGATCGTTACTTTCCGCGACGTATCTTCTGTACTGGGTTATAACCGTATGTAATGTTTCGTAATCACTCATTTCAACAGATTCACATTGAATACGGAACGGATGTTTGTTTGTTTTTGCAA